GTTGACTATGGAGCCAAGCTAACTAAAGCTGTGTACAATCTCAAAGGCAGTTTTTAATCTCCCAAATGGCCACGCGGGGGCGCACTCGCCAGACAGCCTAGTACTAAGGACTCTCGCCTTTGCCGAGGGCGAGACTGCGGAAAGAACCACTTCCTGTGATCAGGCTACATCACTTCCTCCCACGCTTGGCTTTCGGCTGGTGGGTACTCACGAGGGGTCAACATGCGTATAGAGAAGTGTTACTTCTGTTCGGGGCCCGTCTACCCCGGCCACGGCATGATGTTCGTCCGCAACGATTGCAAGGTGGGTTGTCTAAGAGCAGCGCGCTCCCGCCTGCGCGCCGCGGGCCCCGAATCCCGCCCGCCGCCTGGTTCTCCGCGCGGAATTTTCGTCCTGGGGTCTCAGGGATGCCCAAAACTCCAGCGTGGTGGGTACTCCGCCTGTGGCTGCCTTGAAAGGCCATGTCAGGCCACCTCAGTGAGGAGCAAAAGAGAGTCCAATGGGACTTGATGGAGGACCTGGGGTTCTGTTAGGACTTCTCGGCCACACTGTACCCGACCACAGTCTTTAATCTGGGAAACTCTGTTGAGTTCATTCTCTCTCCCCAGTACTGTGGGGTTTTAAAGAACTAATACCATAGTAAGTAGTAAAGGTAGAGTCGTGTGTGAAGCATTAAGGAATCAAAGATGAGTAGGTATTTAGTTCTTAGATGTGAGTTGAGGGGGAAAAACTCAAAAACGGGAAGTGTCATTTATCCTGGCTCTTAAAATTAGAGTAAGAAAAGGAGTTAAGGTTAGACTAGGGGTAAGGAAAGTCAGCAGTTTGGAAAAGGCACAAAAAGGAGTAATTACTTCTTTTTGCTTAGGAAGTTGTGATTGTAGATGATGATGGAAGCTGCTTGTTGAAGCTTCTCTGTTGCTCTGGGCTCTGGAGTCGGAACTGGCTGACAGCTGACATTCCAGCTGGTTTTTAAAGAGGCTGTAAATTGCTTAGGAGGGAAAGTGTCCTGTCTCCTGCGGCGCAGCTGGCGAATTCACCTCTGGGCGCATTTGGGTTGGCAGCACGGCTATTAACCACCAAGGCACCAGAACTTCCTTTAAGGTTATGGAAGCTCAGGTTGTCTAGTGGTAAGATGTGGGGCTGGCAGCCCAAAGGTACGGGGTTCAAATGGGTTGGTTCCGACTGGACACAACCACCACCACCGGATTAAACTAGTATTGTTTCTAAGAGAGCTTTGTTGTATCCTAACCTACACATTCCCCATAGAACAAAGTGTATAAAAGTGACATGTATTATAATGTGTTACATGCACACATATGTTGCTGGGTGCCAGTGAGTCTATTCTGGCTGTATTTTTTACCGTAATCGTCACTTTCTCGCTGGAAATGCTTAATGAATTGAAAACCACCAGCCTTTTGGTTATCAGCTGAGTGTTTAGCTGTTGCACTACCACGGCTCCTTTCCATCCTCATGCTTTGTTTGACTCGTGAAATTGTTCACTTTAGCCTGTTTTGTTGTGGAATCAAGCCAGGAAAATTCAACTAAAATTTCTTTTTCAAGATCCATAAATTCCCAATAATTTTTCTTCTGCAGTAACACACACACTCCCATTATGATATGCCATTGTTGATTCTGACTTGTAACAACCCCATATGACAGAGTGGAACTACTTCTAGAGCTTTCTAAGATCCAAGTCTTTCTGAGAGGGAAATCTTTACTGGATGATTTCAAACTGCCGACCTTTGGGTGAGCAGAGAGTGCTTGACCATTGCATTACAAGGACCCCCTCAGATAATACATTATAAGATATAGTTTTTGCTTCATAATGAGTCCTATTAAGACATTTCAGGAACACACTGAAGGATCACTATTAAAGGGACAGATCTTTTGAAATGAGGGTGGAGAGTTAGAGCAATAATGAATCTTAACAGCAGATTTTTACATGCATAGTTTAGAAAACAGATTTATTGTCAACTTCATTTGCTTTTGAAATTATTTTTGCTTTTATCAAGAAATATGGAAATAAAGGAAATTCTTAATGGCCTTTTGAAATGTTTATTTCCATTAAGGTATAGATTACCTTTAATTGTAGGTACCTACATGACTTTCATTAAAATTACTCCCTTTTATCTGAGATCTAGAAGAAGTTTTATTGTAATTGTGTAAGTTTAGAGTTTTTATTTTAATTGTAAAAAACCAGCTAGTAGTATTTAGTCATAGGGCCTTTGTCAGGAATGGTTGCTGATAGCCAAAAGAGTTTGATTTCCATTTCATTTGATACATCTGACATGTTCCTAACTGTGGTTGTGAGAAGGTGAGAAGAATTATGCGTGAGAATTATTGTCACTTCTGAGACTATAAGTGACTTTACAGTACTTTTTGTCTAAGGGAGGGAAGCATCTTGTAAAACAAAACCTTTTAATAGTGACCTGTGGTGTTCTAATTTACTTCTCTTGTAGGTGTTCCGATTTTGTAAATCCAAATGTCATAAAAACTTTAAAAAGAAGCGCAATCCTCGCAAGGTCAGGTGGACTAAAGCATTTCGGAAAGCAGCGGGTAAAGAACTTACAGTGGTGAGTAGAGAGAACTGTTAACATCGTGTTTACATTTTTCAAATTTTAACTTTGGGAATATGGGATTTTTATGAATATGGAATTTAACAAACTGTAACAGAGCATCCTATAATATGATTGATGAATGATTTTTTCACATTAGGTTGTGGAAATAATTGCATTCTTGTGTGATCCTGAAAGCTATGATTCTGTAGAATTCTTATCAGGCCTGTGTATTTCTGTGTAGAACACACATAAAGATCTACCTCCATTAAGGGAGAAAAGGCTGTTGGACAGGCTGTGTGGGAGTTGTTGTTGTTGTTGTTATGTGCTGTTGAGTTGCTTGCGACTCATTAGCGACCCTATGTGTGGGAGAAGGATCTTTAAACTGAACTCTGCTTCCCTGACCTCATCCTCCACCGAAACCTCTTCCCTATCCCTTTACTGCGTAAGGCTAGGATTGACAAGCATTCACCATGAAGCCCCTTTCCTGGCTTTCTTAAGAGGTTTTCAGTGAACGTCAGACAAACTGCAAGGCCAAATCGTAATTATTTGTAACAAATAATTTTATATCTGCATGAGAAGTTGTCCAGCACCTCAAATGCAAGTGGCAGCTACATAAATGAAGAAAGGATGATCAGAGCCATTCACTGGTGACCGTTTGTCTTGTTAGTACTACGGTTATTGCCATCTGAATAGAAGCAAGTGTATACAGATGACATAGCTAAATGCAGAGTTAGCACTCTTCCATAAGCCAGTGTCATATAGATAAGAAAACTATAAGTTGTTTTACCAGTAAACTTGTCGTTTATTCAGAATTGCTTTGCATGTTCTGAGAAATGTGGCTACACTGGTGTCCACATTTGGAGGAGATCTAAAGACTCTCAGGTGGCACCATGTTTATTTGAAGATGTATAATTTCACATATTGGTGCTGTACCAAGCATTTAGGTTGAATCATGGGATATTTTTATACCTTTTAATCATGAAATGAACGACAGTTTCTTATTGTCCAGCCTACTACAAAATAGTCTGAGTCTCCTCTCAGGATGGGACATTAAGAAAGAGATTTTTAAAATTTATTTGTAATCCCCATGATTATTACATGCCTTTCTAGGAATGAGGGTTATGCTCTCTCTTCCCTCTCTTTGAGAATCACTCACATATGGATAGCTTTCCATAGGGATATCTTTTACAGAGAGTTATATAAAGGGGGGAAGTTTTTTATCCTATGAGATCACTATTTTGTTTTTTTTTTTTTAATTTAATTATTTTCTCTGTGCGTGTACCATCAAATTGGATCTGACTGGTACAGGAGGAGATGGTTCCTCCTTCTCTGGCAGGGCATCTGGTGGATTTGAACCACAAATCTCTGGGATTGCAGTGCAGCTTCTTGCCACTAGGCCACCAGAGCTCCCCCATGAGATCACTATTTAATGAAGTCTTAGTATGTGTGTGTGGTTTGACACATGGAACTCTTGTGAAAGAGGAGTAGATTTTAAGAAATAGTTCCATTCTGCTTCTCTTAAAACCATCTAATTTTTTTTCCCTTTCTACAGGATAATTCATTTGAATTTGAAAAGCGTAGAAATGAACCTGTCAAATACCAGCGGGAACTGTGGAATAAAACTAGTAAGTCACAAGAGAATACTAGAAATATTTAAGAGAGACTAGTTTGGTATATTACATTAGCTTTAATGTCAGTTGTTATTGAAATACTTTTTTTCTTTATTACTACTTTTATTATTTTAATGGGTCTGTAATGTTTATGTCTAATATAAGCTATTGCTAATCCTCAGAATTATTTGATGTATCCATATAGATGTATTGGTGGTGTTGTGTACATTTGAGATGGAACCGACCCATAGTTGACTCTCCAGTGAGTTTTCAGAGGCAGTAAAGAGATTGTGGAAAAGATTGTGCATCCTTCTCCTGTGGAGCAGCTGGTAGATTCAAACTGCAAGCCTTTGGGATTGCAGTGCAGCTTCTTACCACTAGGCCAGCAGAGCTCCATAAATATTTACATGTAAGGATCCAAAAACCTGAAGAAAAAAAGAATAATTTTGGGGATGGTGTGGTATGAATATACTTGAGTATGTATAAAATGTACACAAACCCCACCATTTTACAAGCTTATATCACATTAGAGATATTAACAGTGTTTATAAAATGCTCATGTAAAATTAAGAAATGTCGCTAATCTCTAAAATTTTAAAATAGAGCTATTTAGGTAATAATTTTTCTAACAGAATTTCTTCTATGTACTTGACTTAATGAAGCTGCTCTTATTACTGTTGATTTGAATCTGACCCCTAGACCTGAGAGGGAGCTCTGGTTGCTTAATAGTAAAAAGTTGTGCTGCCAGCTTAAAGGCAGTTTGAATCCACCATGTGCTCCTAGGGTGAAAATGGGCGGTCTCCTCCGATGCCTCTGAAAACCCCCCGGAGGGTCAGCTCTTGTTGGATTTCTGCAGCTCTAAATCCTAATCTTAGCCTGCAGATGTTTTTCCTGTAGAATGGCTGGTGAACTCGTACTGGTGATCTTTAATTTAGCATTCCAGCATGTAACACACTAATACTTAGTTTTAGTTCTCTCTCCTGCCCAAAGTGAGCTGAGATGTAAAGTAAAACTTAGATCCCTTAAGATAGCTTGTAGATTCTTCTATGTTTGTGTCTTTGAGGCCTTTTAATTTTTTCTTTCTCCCATGGCTTTCTTAAGATATTTCTGGTATTGGCTGTTGGGTGATAATGCTTTGTTAAGTAGAAATTCCTGATGTTTAGAATACTTTGACCCTTTTATTGCTCTCCTAATGGCTCATAGACAGAACATCTGTTTGAACATCTGTTCCTCAGCCAGTTGCAAGACCTCTGGGAAGGAATAGAAAAGTCGTAGACCTTTATAGTCATATTTGACACCCTCTCAAATTTGTTTTTAGAAACCTGATAGCCTAATGGTTAAGTGTTGGGATGCTAACCATGAAGTTAGTAATTTGAACCCACCTAAGGGAGCTCTAGTGTCTTAGTGGTAAGGAGTTTGGCTGCCAACCCAAAGGCACATGGTTCAAATCCACCAGCTGCTTTGGGAGAGAAAGATGGGCATTCTCTTCTTATGCAGTTAACTGCCTCTAGAAACTCACTGCACGTATGTGCCAGTTCTGACTTGGTAGCACATCACAACAAGAAGAAAAGGAGCTGTCGCCATAGCATTCAATCTGTATACGGAGCAAATAATTTGAGAGACTGGATTTTATGAAGAAGAGTGTGGCATCAGAATCTAAGGAAAGTTCATTAACAACCTGCATTGTGTGGATGACACAACTTTGGCAAAAGCAAGGAAGACCCAAAGCGCTTATTGAATGAAGGTCAAAGACTACAGCCTTCAGTATGTATTATATCTCAACATCAAGAAAACAGCAACAAAAATCTCACCAGATAGTTGCAGAGAAGATTGAAGTTGTTAATAATTTCATCTTGCTTGAATCCACAGTCAACACCCTTGGTAACAGGAGTTAAGAAATCACAAGATTTGTGTTGGGGAAGTCAGTTGTCAGGGAGTTCTCCAAGGTACCAAGGAGCAGGGATGTTAGTTTGAAGATGATCTTTTCCGTTTTTTCCTATGCAACTTTCATTTGGACAATTAAGATCACGGTAAAAGAGTCCATGCCTTTCAGCTGTGTTGTTGGAGAAGAGTACTGAATACCCCAGGGACTGCCAAAAGAAGAAAAAATATGCCTTGGAGAAGATACAACTGAAGTGCTCCTTGGAGGGAAGGATGATGAAACTCAGTCTCATATACTTTGTGCATGTTAAGAGGGTCAGTCCTTGAAAAAGGATATCATGCTCTGAAGGGTAGAGGGTCAGTAAAAGAGGAAGACTTTCAACTAGGTAGATTGGCATAGTGGCTGGAGCAGTGGGCTCGAGTATATCAGGGATGGTGCAGGAGAGGGCAGGGCTTAGGCCTGCTGTCCATAGTGTTACTATAAGTCATAGTCGACTTGATGGCACCTAGCAACAGGGAGCTCTGGTGTCCTGCTGTCTAAGAAGTTATGCTGCTAGCCCAAGCGAAGTTGTTTCAAATCTACCAGCAGCTCTGTTTGAGAGAGAATTAGCATTTTCCGCTGGTGAGATTTACAGACTGAAAATCTGGTGGAGAGTCAGTTATGAGTTAGTTTCAACTCAACAGGTCTGTGTGGGAGAAGGAAGCGTCAGTGTGCTTCCATCAAGAAGAGAGATTAGAAAACTTTATGGGACAATTCAACCATGTCCCATAGAGTCAAAATTGACTTTACAGAACTTGGTTTATTATTTTGAGCAGTGTAGAGAAATCATTGCCTTTTCTTTGTAACCCTAAATATTCTGCCCCATTTTTCTTTTCTAATTACTTAAATGTGGCAGTGATGCTTCTTGGCATTAAGCCTTAGACCTAAGGAATTTGCAGCTGTGTGAATAGTTTGTCCAGATAATTTTTTTTAAGGTCTTTTACTTCCTGTTTTGTAATTAGAAGGACAATTTCTGAAAAGCAGTTGATTTTATTGAGTTTCTTTGGCAAAGCAATAATGCTAATTAAAAAATCAAAGCTTTCTAAACAGATGAAAAAGCTTTATAGAATATTCTAATTGAATAAAAATGACACCCTTATTTAGAGCCATTGTTTCTTATATTTCTGGATATTTTCACAAAGTTCTAAATAATTTCTTGATCCCATTCAGTTTTATTTCATTTTGACATTTGTGTTTCTTTTTTATAACTGCTTGAAGAGAGCAGCCAGATCATTTTTACATGTTTTATTACTACATTTATTTGGTTAATAGCTTGATAGTGAATCTGAATGGCATTCTCTATTTTAGTCATATTTACATATTCAGTTATTATGATCCTCTTTGCTGGTACAAGTTATACTGCTTAGACTTCATTATTATTTTAATGATAATGTGCTTTGCAGTTCTTTTATTTCGGTGCAGCACACATTTAATAGGCATCAGTTCTGGCAGTACTTCAATACTGAAGTACTGAATACAGATATGAACAAGGCATATATAGGCCATGCCCTCTAGGTATATTTTACTGAGTTCTCCTCTTGACTGTTTCTCTTGGTAAATTAGTTCAGGTATTATCACGGTATCTGATTCCCTTTCCACACTTACTTATATATTGTCCCCTGGCCCTCAACAATTTTTTGTTACCTTTTTATATTTTATATTGTTGTGTACCATTGAGTCAGAACCGACCCATAGCTGACCCTCTGCTGGGTTTTCAGAGGCAGTTAATTGCACGGGAGGAGATTGACCATCCTTCTCCCACGGTGCAGTTGGTGAATTCCTACTGTGTGCTTTTGGGATTGCAGTGCAGCTTCTTGCCACTAGGCCACCAGTGTTCCCTTATTTTACATTGGAATACGAAAAAAAATAGACTTTTCAAAGAAACTTGCTAAGTAGACAGTTGAAAGTCTTCTGAAACATAAAGAGGTTTCCTGTTGAGTATGCAGTTAATTAAAAACCTTATTTATTATTTCCAGAAATAATATATCCTTTTCCAGAGAGATTTGTTGATTCCATGGCTCCCAGATATACCCAGTATTTTGTCTGGAAGATTCTCCCACCATGTGATTGTTGTACTGTCATGGCTTGCATGCTGCTGTGATGTTGGAAGCTATGCTGCTGGTATTTTAAGTACCAGAAGGGTCACCTGTGGTAGACAGGTTTCAGCAGAACTGCTAGAGGAAGAGAGACTGGATGGGAAACATGACTGGGCATCCACTTAGGAAATAATGGTCCATTAAAAGCATGTGACTAACACTGGAACATTGTCTGATATAGTTCTGAAAGATGAGGCCCTCCGATTGGGAGGTACTCACGCTGTGACTAGGGAAGCCGCTTCCTCAAAATAGAGTCTGCTTTAGTGACTTGAATAGAGATAAAGCTTTAATTTGGTGAAAGACTTCATTTTCATTTGTTTATGTGGCAACAGCATCTATTAGTAATTGGAACATGGACTATACAAACTATGAATCAAAGATAATTGGAAGTTGGGGGGGGGAAAGGAATGCTTGAAGATCCATATTCTAGTCATTAGTGAGCTGAGATGGACTGATAGGAGCCATATTTAATCCAGCAGTCATGTGCTGTACGTTGTTAACATTCACAGGTTGAAGTGAAATAATGTCATAATCATTGTCAAAAAGAATATCGATGGAAAAACTACCAAAAAGGTGTTTAATTGTCACTGTACAAAGGCATTGCACCATGTGGATCATACTAAATTATGGATAACCTTGAGAATAGTAAGAATACCAGGAGATTTAATTGTGCTCATGCTGAACCTGTACATAGACTAAGAAACAGTGATTCAAGCAGAACAAGGGGATATGGCGTGATCTGAAACCAAGAAAATTGTATGTCACAATGGCATTATTTTCAGTCTGTATGTGAGGCAAATAATCTGAGAATCTGGACTGTATGAAGAAGAATATGGTACCAGAATTGGAAAAAGACTCATCAGCCTTGCAGGTCACAAAACCTAACCTTTTCTGCATAAAGAAAAGAGGACTTGAAGCACTTACTGATGAAGAGCAAAGCCTTCAGTATAGATTATAACTCAACCTAAAGAAAGAAAACCCCTTAAAACTGGACCAATTTACAAAGTTATGATAAACCAACAAAAGATTGAAGTTGTCAGTTTAATTTTGCAGCACTCAGAGAAGCATTAGTAAAAAAAAAGTCAAATTTTTAATGCATTCATTAAATCTGCTCCTAAGACCTCTGCCTCGAGAGCAGAAAATGGAACTTGGCTCAGGACCATGAGAATCTCTCTGAAAAGGCCAGAGGGAGTGAGAATAGTGCAGCCCCAGAGCAGAAAGCGGATAAAGACCTCAAGATCCAGTCCTCTGGTGCCTCCAGAGCCACACCAGTGTCGGGTGGTTCATTTATTTGTTGTTGACTCACAGACTTTGCTTACGTTTGTGGTACTGAAAATGGGGTTTATTAGAGAAATAAGTTGGAGAGTGGGAGAGACAAAGAATATCGCCTATTGCAAATCCAGATTTTAGCCCAGAAGTCCCAAGGCACAATTGCTCAATTATTCCAGGCTCCAGTTTGAGTTCAGCAATACAAATTCAAGAAGTCTTTGGTTTCCTCAATCATTAAGGTAGCTGGAGACTAGGGGTAATGGCTGAAAAAAGGCTGCACCAGTCTAACACCATAACATCTTTAAAAATTGACAGACTGGATACTTACCTGGCAGGGGAGATAATGTGATCACAAAGGTGGTTTTCCCAGGGCAAGGCTTATCCATTGCACTCTGGATGTGCTGACCCCTTGTAATTTCCCCAAATGTAGGAAACCAGACTGGACAATTTGCAGTAGTTTGTGTTCGGGCTTCCCTCAGAGGGAAAAAATTGACAAACTGACTTTAAGGAGCATAGTTGGGAGTTGTAGTGAACAAAGAGAGTAGCTACAACAGTGTGGGCTACTGCATGCATGAAGTATGTCTGAATTTAAATCTACAGTAAACGTGAAATACCTGCCAGATTTTGAAGATTGATAAAACTAGAATGCAGATACTGCGTTAATTGTTCTTTTATATAGATTACTTGTTAAAATGACATTTTCTGAATATATTGGATTAATCAGTTATATCATTAAATTTATTGCATCTGTTCCTTTTTTAATGTAGATATTAGAAAGCTTATAATTAGATGCATGGTTTTATAGTGGATATTGCTTATTGGAATTTTAGAGCATAGTTGGACTTAACTCTCTTTGAGTTAATAGAAGCTCCTATCCATAATTTTCTGAATAGTTTTATTTTAGTGGTTACGATTGTAAAAAAATTATCTGGAAGCTGGTTCATTATATTAATATTTATTTAAGTACATTGAAACTTGTGTTCTTGGCAGAAAAAAGCACTGTCTTTATGGAGACTATATGCTAAGAATTATTTTAGTTGCATTTAATCCACATTCTCTGTTGAATAAAATTTGAAATGCATTGACCTGGTTTAAAGTTGTACATAAATTTCTTCAACCATTTTAATAGGGAATGTCTTTGGAATTTTTTTTTAAATTTTAATTCATTTCTAAATCACTCAGAATTAAGAAATAATTTGTTAAAATGCTTGTGATTAGGATCATACTGCTTTAGACAAATGTGTTGCTAATTCTCACAATTTTTTTTTTAATATAGTTGATGCAATGAAGAGAGTGGAAGAGATTAAACAAAAACGCCAAGCTACATATATAATGAACAGGTATGAATCCTTTATAAAGTAAATCTACTGCATGTTGTACTACTAACGGAAAGGTTACTGACTCGAACGTACCAGTCACTCTGAGAGAAAGAATGAAGCAGTGTCCTATTAAGATTAATAGCCTCGAAAACCCAATGCAGGGTCCCTGTGAGTTTGAATCTGTTTCATGACTGTGGGCTTGGTATAAATCTAGAGGTATTAGTTCTGTTTTCCAATTTTTATTTTGACATATTTTCATAATTTATCCTGCTAAGATTAATAGCAGACTATTTATGAGCAGTCTCAGGTCAGCGTAGTCCCAAATTTTTAACCAGCTGTATGCATCGGTAACACAAACAGCTCCGTCTATAGCTCAGTTCCGCAATTCCTCTATGGCCCTTGGTTCATATTCACTAGATGGTCTCCAGACCCGCACTTATCAAGGGAATGACTCACGATAGTGATGGACCAGCATCCTGTAGACTGTCACTTGTGGTGACTGTGAGTGATGTAGGCTGATGGTGTGGAGACTGGTGAGCAGCTGTCCCAGGCAAGCTGCAAGCTTTTCAAAAGGAAAAAAGTGCCTAGCACTGTGGTCCCATGAGTTTATATCTGCCACTGTCCTTAATACAGTAATGACTTCAGCACAAAATACATGTTAATCACTGGCTTAGAGAAGACATCTGAATGATAAATCTTAGACACCCAGAACATAGTTTCAGTTTTAAAAACTTGTACCAAAAAAAAAAGTCTGATACAGTGTATTGTTTTTTATTCAGTTATTATTTTACAATTTTTTTTGTCTTTATGTATATAGTATGTTAAAGGCATTATGCCCTTTTCCTCCTAAAATAGACTTCAGTGTGTATGTCCTAGAAATAAGAACTCACATGAGTAATCAAGAAATTACATTGACACAGCTGTATTGCAAAACCATCAAGCTTTATTTAGATTTTGTCAGTTTTAGTAATGTATTTCATAGCCAAAGAAAATTCTGGTTTATGCATTGAATTTACTTTAATCCAGTAAACATTGTCATCTTTATCTTATATAACACTGACATTTTCAAAGTATATAAAGCAGTTATTTGTATATCATGTTCCTTTTAATATACATTTAAGTTTATTTGATGTTTTCCTCTTAAGTAGATTTAGATTGGGTACCTTTGTCAAGAATGTCTTAGAATCTATAATGTAACTTTCTCATCATCTCAGAAAGCTCATGTTATCCCCTTACTGGTTATGGTTAAAGTTGTATCTGCCATGTTTCTTCACTGGAAAGTTACTGATTTTTTTCCTTTTTAACTAACACATATTTGAAAGAAATATTTTGAGAATCTGCAAAGAGCCTGTTACTCTTCAAACTTGTACCTACTGTTTTTAGCATCCATTGGAGAGTCTTTCCTGAGTCAGTTACTGGTGTGATTGTTGCCAAATCATATTTTTTTCTAACTGTAGCATTTCTTCTACCTTTGATACTTGGGATTCTCATGTAAAAAAGAATGTTCTTTTCTGCCTTCATTTATTCTTTCATACTATATCTGTGTGTATTCAATAAGGTTTTTACAGCATTCAGTGAGTTATGGTTTTTATTTTCACTGTTTATTTTAATACTCTGGTCTAGGTTTAGCCAGTGTTACAGATCAAGATATTCCTATGACCTTTTGATGAGTCCTTATGGTTCTTTGAATACTTTCTTGCTTTATGAGTAATGAAATATTTAAGGATAATTTGTACTTCTCTTCCTCTCACCTAGAGTTGGCTATTTCTTCACAATTAGGACATTAGTTTTAAAATCTTACTGTGGAAATCTATCATAGACAAAAAGCAGTTGTTTGCAGCATTCTGAGTTTAAAAAATAAAACATTACAGAGAAGAGGCTCAAATGTTTGACAGCAGTCTGTTGGCATTTTTGTTGTGGTAGTTTATTAGGTAACATACAGACTATAGTCTCTATTTGAGGACAAAAGATGTGGGCATTTGTGAAAAGAGCAAGGACTGTGTGAAGATGGCCATATCTGACCTCCACAAGGGGGGACTATACCTACTATCCCTGCCAACAACATCTACACGATAAAACCAATTCCTGTGAGGTCAGACCTGTCCCCATGCTCCCACACCTCTTGCTACTTATCCCAGTACCAGTCTTGCTGCTCTGCTGGGGTCCGAAATCCATTATGATTGCTCACAGACCACACAAAACCACATTGAGGGATATCAAAAGGCTGTAATTCAGTTGAGTAGCAGAATACACTCAATTCAAAGGCAGTTGTTGAAATGTGCTTTTACGCATCTCAGTCCTCAGCTTCACCATGGCTTTAAGCCAGTGCCTGTAAAGCTTCTCCACCTGCCTGTTGTGGCTCTCCCCCCTTAGTCGTCCAATAAACTAGTGCAAAGGCTCTTACCTCTGGTTCCGTGAGGTAGTTGGCCCAAGGTCAGCCCTACCTCTTGTGGGGTCTCTGGTTCTCTGCTTTGGCTGCTGTTGCTCCTGTAGGTGCTGTAGCTCCTGAGGTGCTCAGGAATCTTTGGCCTCCAAGGACTCACACTCAGCATGATCTGCTGCTTTTTTGCTGGTAACAAGAGTCCCAAAATCTCCTGCTAAATCTGCTCAATTTAGTGATGAGACTAGTCATTTCTCTTGTGAATAGGCTAACAAACCTTATTCCTGTCCATCCACATGGCATAGTCAAAGGGTAGAGAAGCCATTTTGAACTAGAAACCTTTAACGCCAAAGCGCTTGAATAGTTTTATGAGATAGAGCCCTACAGTGTATTACGGACATTTTTTTCTGAAGTTTGTTCATTCTTTTCTTAATTCACTCAGTTGGTAGATAGGTAGCTCTCATTTTGTCCCAGATGCTGAACTGGGCACTAGGGATACAATGAACAAGTTGACAGTGGGAATTTTGTTTGAGTGGAAATTCTGTTTAATTAGAAACTAGAAAAACATTGTGAATTTGAGTTGTTAAGGAAGAAAATGTGCCTTTAAAAGGCTCAACAGACAGCTTTACCTTAAATTTGGAAATAAATATAAGAAAGATATTGTCCTTTCGGGAATATTTTGAGAGAACTGAGAGACTTGGTGATGCTCCTGCTTTGGATGGAATGTGTGAAAGAGGAGGAAACGGAATGACAATCTCCTGGCTTAACTTCAACTTCTGACTGCAGAAGTTGGTAGAAGTCTTCTGTTTCCTCTTCTTTGGCTCTAGTTGTTGGTGCATATATTTGAATGATAGTGGTTGGTATTCACTGGACTTCCTTGTATGCGTATGGATATTATCCTGTCGCTTAAAGAGTGTATTGTTAACTGGTGTCTCAAAGAAGTTTCAAGGGAGTTTTGTGCTTAGTGATGCTGCCAGTCCCAAAGACATATGGATCTAATCCACGAGCTGTTCTGAGGGCAGTCTCCTCCCCTGTGATTTCCTGCCTCTGAAAACCTGCTGGAGGTGAGCTCTAAGTCCATTCAGACTTGACAATACACAGCGCGACAGAAAGTTTTAGGGAGCACAGGTGGACTAGTGCGTAGAGAACTACACTGCCAATCCAAAGACAAGTGGTTCAAATCTGCCAGCTTTTCCCTGGGAGAAAGAAGGGCTCTCTTCTGTGCGGGTTACAGCCTCTGAAAACCTGCAAAAACAAGGAATTTTGAGTGGCTAAAGTTTTGGCTTGATGTGTCCTATTCTAGGTTAAAGAAAAATAAAGAATTACAGAAAGCTCAGGATATCAAAGAAGTCAAGCAAAACATTCATCTTATCCGGGCACCTGTTGCAGGTAAGAATTGTGTAGCACAGGATTCTTGACTCTTGCAGGGGGAAGAACATCTAAGTGTTTGTGATCCATGTAATTGGGTATTACCTACCTTTCTTAAGTAAATCTTTTTCTAGGATGTGACTTGATGTATAAGAATGCAATTTATTCAGTATATTTCCCAATCAGTATATTTACTGTTTTTTGTCTCTTTTTCCTCATAGAATTTTATGTACATGTAAGCTCTCCAAGTTAAGCAAAATAATTTGAGTAATATTTTTTAGGCGATTTCCTTAACTAAAGGAGTGTATTTTATATTAATGGACTTAAAACTTTGGTAACAGAATTATTTGAGGGGCTTGGAGAAAACAGAGTCCTGTTCCCTCTGCATAAGGACCTCTGTGTGGTTCCCAAGACTCCCAGGTGATTCTGATGCACACTAAAGCGTGAAAACAATTGTATAGTTAATCCTTTGTTTTTGCTTAATTTACTGTTACTCAATAATTTCTACCTTTCTTGTGTATGACTTCTTCTGTGAGGTATTAGACACCCATTCTTCTTGAATGGTGTCAGGTATAGTTTGCTAAGTAATTTATTAATTAGGCAGATTGAATAAAAGGAAAGAAATTTTGGTAAGATTTAGTTAAAAATTGATTCCAGCATAATTACATGTCTGCCTCTTAGTAAAAGGCAAACTCTTTACCCATTGAGTCAATTTATGTAAAACCTAGGCTGTTTTTTGCACCAACATCTATTTAAACGGGTAAATACCTAGAGAATATACATACTGAGCTTCATATGTAGATGATATGAACTAACTCATAGAAAGTAATATGAATGGTTATCTAGCTTTTTAGGTGACCTTTTCAAAGGTAGGTAGTAGAATATTCAGAGCAGGGACCTTAGTCTAATTAGTTAGTTGCTATTAACTAATACTAACTCATTATTCTGAAGTGTTTAATATCCTTTATATAATAGTAGTATGACTTCTGCAAAGTAACAATGAATTGATAGTCTTTTTTGTTTTTCTTTTAAAAGGCAAAGGAAAGCAGCTGGAAGAAAAAATGGTACAGAAATTGCAAGAGGATGTGGATATGGAAGATACTTCTTAAAATTTTCCCTTATCTGTAACCATGTGTTTATGTATATTTAAAAACACCTTTGGAGACTTGGAACTTTTAATTGATTGATTTATTACTTACATAAGATTGCTTATGAAAGATGATTAAAAACATCATCATTGCAATCTGAAACATCAGTTATTATGGCTGTTTGTTTCTCATTAAATCTCACGGATTTACATAAATCATGAAAACTCATTTATGATTACAGATGTGAATTGTAGGCATACAATGGTCCATTTTCAGGTGATGACACTCTGTAGCATTTAATAATAACAATTTGTAAAATAAAATTTCCCTTTGCAGTGAAACACTCCTCTCTCTGTGTGTGTATAATACAAGGAACTAACGATCTATGTGAAATCTGACCTCATGATGTCTTTTATTTTGTTTTCAAGATTTGCTACTTAGATTTTACTGTCTTGGATAGAAGCCTTATTATGTTGAACTGTCCTAATTAAATTAGTTGTTTCGGACAGTTGAGGATGTTGGAAGTGATAGCTCAATATTGTTAGCTGCCATCGTGTTGACTAGGACTAATGGTGACTGTATCTTATACCATCCTCAAAATCTCCAGCCTGCTTAAGCCCATTGTTACAGTCACTGTGTCAGTCCATCCTTGATGAGGGTCTTCATCTCTTTCTCTGACCCTCTACCTTTCTCAGCATGCTGTCTTTTTCTAAGGACTTGTGCCTCTTGACAGCATTCCCAATGTATGTGAGAATTTTCACCATCTTTGCCTTTAAGGAGCATCTTTTTGTTGTTGTTGTTGTTGTTATGTGCCGTCGAGTCGTTTGCGACTCATAGTGACCCTATGTACAACAGCCCTAAACTCTGCTCTGTCCTGTGCCAGTCACACTGCCTCTGACACACCCAGCCTGATTACCCCAGTCACTGAATCAATCCACCTCATAGAGGGTCTTCCCCTCCTGCGCCGTCCCTCCACCCTCCCAAGCACGATGTCCCTCTCCAAGGACCCGTCCTTCCTGGCAACATGTCCAAAGTATGTCAGACGAAGCCCCAGAAACCTTGACTCTAAGGAGTAGCCTGGTTTAACCCTCTCCAGGAAGAATTAGTTTGTTTTCTTGGCAGTCCGTGGTACATTCAATACTCTTCTTCAGCACCACAGCTCAAAGGCATCAGTTCTTCTATCCTCCCTAGTCATTGTCTCTCTGATGCATAACAAGTGATTGCAAAGACCATGGCGTGTATCAGGTGCAAATAGACTTGTTTGTTCTTTTGGCAGTCTGTGGGATAGCACTGTTCCCTAACACCACAAAGTCAAAGGCACAGATTCTTCTGTCATCCTAATTTGTTGTCCAACTTTGTGGTACCTAGGAATCAACTGAAAATTCTATAACTTGGACCAGGCTCCCACTTAGTCTTTAACATCCTTTCTTTTTAACACTTTGGAGAAATCCTTAAAGATTTTCCTCACTGCAGCTTGTCTTTTGATTTCTTAACTTCTGTTACCATGTATATTGATTGTGGATCAATATAAAATGAGATAGTTGATGACTTGAGTCATTTCACTATCCATTATGGTGCTGCCTATGGATACACTTGTGAGGAAGTAAACCCTTGCTACTGAGCTTTAGATTGATTTCCTAAGCCTCACCATGGACAGCTGAGCTGAATAGTCGTTGCTGACATGATACCAAATTCTGTTAATTTCCACGTTGTGCACTGTAGAATATATTCAGTTCTAACTTCAGATTCCTGGTAGAAAACCATTTTTTTTTCTCCCAGCTTGCTTTTTATTTGGAACCAGGGTAATTCTAATGCTTTTTAAAATGTTGCCTGGTTTTCTTTATAAAAACATTTTGTCATCATAAAAATCTAATTTCCTTAAATGGAGCCCTGGTGGTGTAGTGTGTATTATACTTCAATAAAGATTTACGACCTCAGAAACTTGACAGTGAGTCACTGTGAGTCAGAGGCTACTTGATGGCAGTGAAAGGAATTTCTGAATATCTAGAAATAATTAGCAGGAGAAGCAGTTATGGGGATTGGAAAGCATACCTAAGGTTAGCATGTCCAGGCTTGACTTTAGGCAGGTTTCAACCTCTCAGTGCCTTTGATTGTGTATTTGCAAACAAGACATAGTCTTGAGGTTGTGAGAATTCAGTGAATTCAGTGATAGAATAGCACAGTGTTTACTTCCATGCTAATCTTTATTGTCTCATTTTGCAGATAAAGATCATGAAGGCACAGAGGATTAACTTCCCTTATTTCATAACTCGACAGTTACCAGAGATTAGATAGAAAGTCAGTCTTCCGGTTTTTAAGCACTAACTTGCATCTTAAACAGCAGCTTATAATGGTACTTGCTTAGTAAATGGTCAGTCCTTCAAGGGGAAAAAATTGCTGTAAAGTCTGCAGTCCATGGGTTTAAAATTATGTTCTTAGTATTCCCCTTTTGGTTAGGATTTTCTATGGACTTTTAGGTCAAAATGTTCAGTAATAATAACTGGATACCATTTGGTTCTGGCCTCACAGGAAAGGAGATAGTTGTGCATACAGGCAATTAGCCACACATTGCATGTCCTATTACTGACTCTTCCTTTCTCTCTTGCTCCAGTTGAATGGAGACCTATTGTTATGACTTGGAAAGATTTATTTAACATCCCAGACACCATGCAACAAAGTATGAGGTAAAATAGAGGCACTAAACCTGCATTTTTAGGCCAGTTTACTGATGGCTGGTGAAACCAGGGCCCTGAGGCAAGGGGGAAAACCCATGAGGTGGTGATGGTTTTTAGGTGCCACTGAGTGTAACTCAGACCCTATGAACAACAGACCTGAATCCTGTCCTATCCTTACTATCTATGATACACTTGAGCCCATTGCTGCAGTCACCATGTCAATCTAGCATATTGGAGGTCTTCCTTTCTTACACTTAGTGACAGCAGCAGCTATAGCCAAACCTGAGAATCAACATGAAATGGAGTTACCTTAGAACTGCTTTCTTCTACAGACAGAATCAGAGCTAAGACCTTTTGCCCAAGGTTGTTGGACACTGGGGGAAGGAGGTGGGGGAAGACAATATTGTCAGGACTGAGAACTTTTTAACACTGGCCCTGAGCCACAAGGCTCAAGGCTGAGGTGCCTGTGAGCACATTTTGGAAGCTTTCCTGACTCAATTCTGCTATTAATCTGGATTATGGCTGCAGAGCTGCTCTCCCTTCCTTTCCCAGAAGAGTCACTGAAACTGAAATGATCCAACCACAGGAAGCAGCGGCTGCCACTCTGTTTTTCTCTGTTAAGGATGTGCTCTATTTGCTCTCTGTTAGGAACTGGTCTATTTCTGTTTCCCAAGAATAGTTATCTGAGACCCCAGCCCATTTCCCTATCTTGTAAAAAACAACTGTGACCATCCCCTTCCCCAATTTCCTTGTAAGAAAATATATAACCCCTCCCTAAGAGGGGGCTGATTTCTGCTTTGAGCCAGCCCTGATGTTTCTCCACAATAAACTGACTTGTTTAGCCTGACCTGGACTCTGTCTGTCATTGGTGACCTTACAGTAGCCTTTTAACTTTCTCGAGGTTCCACATGAGCACAATCATGTGCTCTGGGATTCCCATTCTTCTCAATGTCAGCCACAACTTGTAATGATCCACACAAATGCCTTTGCATAGTCAATAAAGCACAAATAGACATTCTTCTGGTATTCCTCACTTTCAGCCAGGATCCATCTGACATCAGCAATGATATCCCTTGTGTCATGGCCTCTTCTAAATCCTGCTTGAACTTCTGGCAGTTCCTTATCTTTGTACTGTTCCAGGCATTTTTTAATGATCTTCAGTAGTATTTTCCTTGCATGTGATATCAATGCTACTGGACCAGGAGGCTGTTGTGCAAACAGAGTAGGAGAGCACTGCCTGGTTTGGAACTGGGAAGGGAGTGTGTCAGGATTGTATTCTCTATCCGTACCTGTTCAGTCTATATGCTGAGTAAATTATTTGAGAAGCTAGACTCTGTGAGGAGGAATGTGTCATCAGGATTGGAGGGAGAATCACCAATAACCTGCATTGTTATGCAGATGACACAACCTTGCTTGCTGAAAGTGAGGAGGGCTTGAAGCACTTACTGCAGAAGATCAAGTAATGTATGGTATGGATTATATTGGTATATGGTATGGATTATATTGTAATGGATTGCATTTCAACGTCAGGAAAGTGAAGATTCTTACCACTGGACCAGTAGGCAGCGTCATGATGGATGGAGAGGAGATGGAAACTATTAACACCTTCATCTCATTTGGATCCACAATTAACACCCTTGGTACCCACAGTCAGGAAATAAGGAGATGCATTGCACTGGGAAAATCTGCAGTTAGGGACCTTTTAAAATTATTGAGTAATGTCAGTTTGAAGAATAAAGTGGATCTGATTCAGGCCATAGTCTTTCCAATTACTAGCTGTGCAGCTGAGAGCTGACAGAATGAGAATTGATGCCTTTGAGCTGTAGTACTAGAGAAGAGCACTGAACGTTCCATGGACAGCCAAGAGAGCGAACATATGTCTTGTAGGGGATGTGGCTGGAGTAGTTTTTGGAGACAAGAATGATGAGGCTTTGCCTTCCATACTTTGGACATTTTGCTAAGAGATGTTCCTTGGAGAGGGACATGATGTTAAGAAGGGTGGAGGGTTGGTGAAGGAAAGGAAAACCCTCAACCAAGTGTATTGATATGGTGACTGCTGCAATGGGCTGTTGTGTCAGAAAGTGTGAGGATGGTTTAGGATAGAAAAGGGTTCAGATCATTTGTTCGTAGGATTGCTATGAGTCGTGCTCGACTGACAGCACCTAACAACAACAACAAAAGCAACAACAAACTTCCCAAATATAATTCTTTGTGGTCTGTGAGTTATTGTATCAGATTTTGGACCCAGCAAAAGCAGTTAAGATTCGTGTTGAGATGTGTAGAAAGAGATACAGGAGTGTGGGGGTCATGTCATGGGAATTGATATTGTATTGCTGATGTTGACAA